CGGGAATTGAGTCTATTTTATGTAAAAATAGTTTAATAATCCCATCACTAATCATCTTCACACTATCATCAAAACAAACACACTTTTCCTTATTCCCTTCACTAACAATCCCCACATTAACAATCTCTTCACTAACAATCCCCACATTAACAATCTCTTCACTAACAATCTCATCCAACCTAATCCGCCAAACAAACGTGACCTTGGAGCCTACTTGAGTGCTCTAGTTTTGTACAGCAAGACTTTTGCATACTTTAAGCCAGAAATAGTGTTTGATAAAATTTTAAAATTAAAATTTGAAAATAGAATTATATTTTGAGTTTGTAAGTTTTGAAATTATAATTTAAAATTTTTTTTTTGTTTGATTATGAATTTTGAAAAGAATTTTAAATTGAGTTTGAATTTTTGATGTGACAAGAAATGAGATAAGTTGTTTGGTTATGAGTTTTTAAATTTTTTTTCAAAACTTAATGCAAAAACTTATGACTCATAACCAAATACACAATTCAAAACTCTATTAAAAATTCTATTCAAAACTCATAATCAATTTTTTTTTAAAATTCAATTCAAAAAAATAATGTCATTTTGATCTAAAAAAATAATTTCTATATTTAAAAAATATCAAAAACAAATATATTTTTTTTCCCAAATAAAAGGTTGCGAATGGCAATTGCCAAAAAAAAAAATACTGTTCCGATCAATTGGCCAAACGACCAGGTACACCAAAAATTTAAAAATTGTCTGACTTACCAAACATGTTTTCAAAATGTATTTGAAATTGATTTAGAATCATAATTGACTTACCAAACATGTTTTCAAAATGTATTTGAAATTGATTTAGAATCATAATTTGAAAACTTCAACCAAACATAACATTAGAATGTAAGGGTAGAATTAGCTTTAAAAAGCTGCTCCAAACACAGCCTTTAGTTCTTTCAGAAGATCAAAAGGGTTTATGAAACTCATTTTTCTCCATCAATAATTTGGCTCTTCATGATTTATTAAATATGTTGTGCGGTTCATGATTGAGAGGTTTCATTATAAACCACAAATAGTTATATTGGCCATCTGAATGGCGAGCCGCGAGGACTAGAAATTGGAGCAAGAAGTTTTGTGGATAGCTATCAGATCAAGAGGAAGTCTGAAGGTTTCAGAACCACAAGAAATGGAGAGTGAATGTGGAGTTGTATAGACTGCAAGATCAACAATCCGGTTTAGATTGTAAATTCTACTGTTTTGAGTCTATAAACTCTACATTTTGTTGAACAGGTTAGGTGTGACTACGTTTTTTGGCTAATTAATATGAACTTACAATTTTAATCGGTAGTTTTTTTACTTCATTTTTTTATTTTTCTTATTTTTTTAAGAGTTGCCATTCTTCTTCGATTTGCTGAAGGCCGACTAGCACCTCCATATCTCCCTTCTATCGATCTCAGCTGTTCACCCTTTCTAGGCACAAAATTGATCTAAGCAGGTAAAGGAGGAGGGTTGTGTGTTAGGTAACCGACAACTAACACGTAAAAAAACCGTTCGGATCCTTTATGACATAAAGCCTAATACTCTAAATCAATTAAATACTATGTTGTTCCCCTTAAGTGACGTGTTGCACTTGCCTCCGGGTGTTTCGAAAAGTGAGCAAGGGGCGCCACATCAACACCTAGTTGCGGTGAAAAATAGGCAAAGGTTTCCACATTTTTCTGGACGAGCATGGATAAAGAAACTAGTCCAAGATTATAAGTTTACAATAGTCATTTGGAATATAGGAACTTTAACTGACAAGATTATGAAATTGATAGATGTCACGATTACGAGGAGAGTTAGTACAACTTGTGTACAAGAAACTAAGTGGACGGGTGAGAAAGTTCAGGAAATAGAGGACATCAGTTTTAAACTATATTATAGTGGCAATGATAGACACAAGAATGTGGTAGGAATAATAGTTGCCAAGAATTTTGTAAAAAATGTAATTGCAGTCATTAAGAAATGTGATAGGATTATATTAGTTAAACTAGTTATTGGAGAGAATATAGTAAACGTTATTAGCGCATACGTCCCCCAAGTAGGATTAGATGATCAGTCTAAGAGAGTTTTTTTGGACCAAATAGATGAGGTATTATAGGAGACACCTGTAGGAGAGAACCTAATTATAGATGGTGATTTCAATGGCCATGTAGGAGTAGATAAACTAAGGTATGAGAGAATGCATGGTGGGTATGGTTTTGGTAATAGAAATGAAATGAAGTTGGAGAGAATATTTTAGATTTTGCATTGGCTTCTGACCTAGTGGTGGCTAATATTACGTATAAAAAGAGAGATGAGCATTTGATAACCTTCAAGAGCGGGTCAATTAGGAGCCAAATAGATTACTTTCTAATAAGAAAAGAGGGTCGTCTAAAATGTAGCGACTGTAAGGTGATTCCTGAAGAGAGCTTGACGTCTTAACATAGGATTTTGGTATTAAATTTATGCTTTAAAGGGCAATACCAAACATGGAAAGATAATGGGCGTCGCAGGACTAGATGGTGGGACCTAAAAGACGATAAACTAGACATAATAGAATGGATAAAGAAGGTACTTGAGACTTGGAAGATGATGCTTACACTATAGAACTCGATGGCCAATTGTATGAGAAGAATCTCAAGGGAAGTTCTTGAAGAGTCGAAAGGAAAGCTACCCAACTTTAGAGGACCTAACTTTACGGAAACTTAGTGGTGGAGGAAGGAGGTCCAAGCGGTAATAAAGACGGAAAAAGAGAACTTTAAAAAGTGACAGAATGATAGAATTGAAGAAAACCTTAAGCGCTACAGAATGACCAATAAGGAGGTCAAAAAAGTAGTTAGGGAGACTGAGTTGAAAGCCTATGATGACCTATACACTAGACTAAATAGTAAGGAGGAAGAGAAAAGAATATACAAACTTGCTAAGATAAGAGAGAGAAAAACAAGAAATTTTAATTAGGTTAAATACATCAAGGGTGAGGACTCTAAAGCGTTTGTGAAGGATGAAGCTATTTTGAGAAGTAATTAAATGAGAAACATAGAGATAGGTTAAAAGAGAAGGAAGTATGTAGTAATTAAGAAAACCAAGACTATAGGTTTTATCGTAGGATTAGGGACTTTGAAATGGATTTTACACTTAAGAAGATGAAATTGAATAAGACTTTAGAACCCGATGATATACCTATTGAAGCGTAGAAATGTTTGGGTAAGAAAGGAATTGTTTGGTTGACTAGATTATTTAGTAAGATTTTGTTAACTAGGAAAATGCTAGAGGAGTGGAGGAAGAGTATTTTAATGCCAATATATAAGAATAAATGAGATGTCTAGAATTGTAACAACTATAGAGGAATCAAGTTAATGTGTCACACAATGAAAGTGTGGGAAAGAGCGATAGAACGTCGATTGTAAGATATAACCGAGATGTTAGAGAATCAATTTGGGTTTATGCCTGGTAGGTCAACAATGGAAGCAATCTATTTTTTGAGGAGAGTAATAGAAAAGTATAAAGAAAAGAAAAGAGACATTCATATAGTTTTTATCGATCTTGAGAAAGCATATAATAGAGTGCCTTGGAATATAATCTAGTGCGTGCTAGAAAAGAAATTGGTGACAAAAGGTTACATTAATGTGATTAGGGATATGTATGAAGATGTGGTAACCACTATTAGATCGCCTGCTAGAGAGACAAGTGAATTTTCAATTTCTGTAGAGTTTCACCAAGGAACAACCTTAAGTCCTTATCTTTTTACTTTAGCTATGGATGAGTTGACGCGCAATATTCAGGATAATGTGCCATGGTGTATGCTCTTTGTAGATGATATCATGTTAGTGGATGAGGCTAGAGAAAGAGTTAACACTAAACTGAAAATTTGGAGAAAGGCACTTGAATCTAAAGGATTTAGGATAAGCAGAACTAAGGCAGAATATAATATATGGAGTGTAATTTTAGTAACAGTTACAATGGAAGCAGAGAAGAAGTGAAGATTGAGAACCAAGAATTACCTAAGAGTGAATATTTTTGTTATTTAGGATCGATTATCACAACAACTACGAAGATTGGAGCGGATGTAATCTATAAAATTAAGGCAGGGTGGCTTAAGTGGAGGAGTGCGTTTGGAGTATTGTGTGATAAACGAGTACCCATTAGACTAACAGAGAAGTTCTATAAAACGGCTATTAGATCAGTGATGTTGTATGGGACAGAATGTTGGGCAACTAAGAAACAACATGTACATAAGACAGAGTGTTGCTGAAATGAGGCTACTAAAGTAGACGTGTGGCAAGACTAGAAAAGACAAAATTACGAATGAGTATATTCGAGAATAAGTAGGAGTAGTACTGATAGAAGATAAGTTGAGAGAGAATAAACTGAAATGATTTGGTCATATACAACGAAGACTAACAGAAATAGTAGTGAAGAGATGCGATACAGTGACGGTAGATGGTAGTGTTAAGGGAAGGAGTAGACCTAGATTAACGTGGACCAGTGTAGTAAATAGACATATGAATCTCCTTAATTTGACTAACGAAATGGCCTTGGATAGAGTCGAGTGGAGAAGAATGATTCATGCAGCCAACCCCATTTAATGGGACTTAAGGCATGGTTTGGTTTGACAAGTTCATTAAAAGTAGATTTTTGATTAGTAAGTTCAATTTGGACAATGGTTCAAAACATGTATACATATGCATTCTTACTGAAAGGTTTGTGCAATGAAAAGAAATTACTTGCAACGTAAAGGTTGCTGGGAGAGAAGATGATTGCCAGAGGGGAGGGGAGTGAAGTGACCAGAAGGGGATGTCGAAAGGGTTACCAGAGGGGAAGGGAGTAGCCGAAAGAGATTGTTTGGTTGGTTGGTTAATAAAATGAGAATAAAAAGTAAGCATTTCTCAAATAAATAAATTTTTTTTATAATTTTTCCCAAAATTTGAAGTGTCAATTTTTTAGTCTCTTCCAAGTACAAACACAATAATAAAGTCAAACATACTTAAGCACAGGAATCATATAACAAACACAGCTTTAAACATAAAATTAAACCTTCATGGTAAATGTGTTCCACTAGCCCTACTTTACTACCTTGTATTGTTCTAATGAATAAAGAATGAGCAGATCACATATGCATTAGTTATTTCTTTCCCTTTCCTATATATACATATGTATATACACACACATATATGTATGAGTTATTGTTACCTCTTAGCACAAGCTAGAGCACAAATATTAATTAATTTAAGGCTCCTAAAGCATAATAGGTATCTCAAAGATAACAAACCTCTGGCACTCAGGCATGCTGGATCAGCTCACAAACACCATCCAAACATCTCATAGTTTTGCAAAGACGTCTTTGGTCACATGGAGTCTGGGTTCCTCAGCTTTAAATAGAGAAGATCCAGTAGCAAAGCCTCTTACTGTAGTTCTACATTTGGATAGGGCACCATCATCTCTAAATCCCACAGACAAAAAAAGAAAGGAGCATACAGAGGCTAGTTTCGAAAAAGATATACTTTATCGGTATCGAAGGGGTGCCTAATTGCACTTCACAAGTGCCCTAGCCCTTGCCATGCCACCGGGTGAACTTCCTCAACTTCATAGCAGACTCAGAATGGTAATGGTGCAATGCTACAATTTACACTATATGAATTACGTGAAAGAACTCAATGAATGTCTGGAATCTTATGGAAAAAAAAAAATTAAACTAAGAGAGATTTTATAGATATCACCCCAATCCCAACCTGCTCAATTTGATTTTTTCCTGATTTTCCTCTGTACTCTTTGCAACCCATTACAATCTACAGGAAGCAATCTTCCCTTGGGAGAAAAAGCTGTTTTTTTTTTCTGGGTATGAAATTCTAACGCAAGATGTAATAAGAACATAAAGGGATCAAAATGGTTTCATCAAACTGGAGACGATCCTTTCAATGTGTTACTAATACCATCTACATCATGTAATTCTTAAATTAAGCAAAAAAGTCCATTAAAGAAAATATCTAAAATATCATGTAGATAATTATGTGCGTGTGCGTGCGTGCGTCTACTTAGATGTGTTTATTTAGAACTTACTAGGATCAAACTTCTTGAAATCGATTTGCTCGTAGTTCCTTTCACTGCTTGAACATCCAAAACCACCTGTAGTCAAGGTAATAACAAAATTACAAGGAACAGAGTGAAAGTGAAGAAACAAATAATTGCCAAAATTTAAATTCTAACTCCCTCATTCTTTTGGGACTAATTCTAAAAATGGAATGATTTCAGAAGAAATGAAAGGTATAATTAAATACAGAGTAAATAAGAACCAAGCAAAACATTTTTATTTCTTAGGAAACCGACAGTAAACATTAGTGGAAACCGAAATTCCACTATTTCCATCAAAACATACCAAAACTCATAGAAACACTACAAAAAAATCCGAAATGACGTGTTATTTTAACAGAAAAAAGCAAATAGAAATAACTTTTGTTAGATATTTATAATTGAGAACAATGAAAAATCTTAAGCTTATTAGAAAATAGGAGAAAATAGAAAAGAGCAGATGCGAGATGGAGAAGTGAAGAGAAAACGGACACGGTTCTTTGTTATTATATAGATCTTTTTTCATCCCTAATAATACTAGAATTTTAACTTTTATGATGCTTTATCTTGAGACAGTATATCTCCTTCCCTAATAAACCCATTAAATCTTTTGTTACAAGCTTCTAAGAATCATTGATATTTATTAAACCTCATTCTTAAACCTCCTCTTCTTCGTTGGTTTCTTCTTCCTGTTCTCTTAGTTGTGAGTTCATGAGAATGTGATGCAGTGTGTGTTGTGTGTATATATATTGCTGTGCATATATATTCATATATATTTTATTGTTGTGTGTGTGAGAGAAATTGGTCGTGAGAGTGTGTAGCTGAGAAGAGGGACTGCCATGGATGACTCCGGTGGGTTTTCAATGGTGTTGTGTGGGAGGGAGAAAGGCTGTGGTGTGGCTGGTGTGTTGTACATGGGAGTGAAATGGGTAAGACTGCATGCATTATGTGTGCTGGCATCGGTGCTGGGCTGTGTAGTGTGTGATGGTTTAGCAATGGTTCGTGTTGTGTGTGGCTGCGTGTAGTTTGTGTGTGCGCTCATGTGATGGTGGTGAGAGAGAGCATATGAGCGAGCCATGAGGGCCTGAGGTGCTTGAGTGTTGTAAGGATACAAGAGTGTGGCAGTTGAAAGAATAAAAAACTAACTGCTTTTCTTAAGGACCTCACAAAGCTTGGATACCTTTTGACCTTTATTTACTATTATGTTGTTATCATTGTTATTTTGGATATTTTTAAACCTTATTCGGTTGGAACCTTACGCACATTTAAATACTCTTGCTCATAATAACATTAATTTGTTTGACATAATTTGACATTGGTTCACATTGAATTTACTTCTAAATTATATATTTGTTCCCTTTGGCCATTTTGATTCGAGGATACAATTAGGCAGGGTAGGTTATTGCTACCTTATCCTGAGGAGAATATATTAATCATTTTGCAACAAAAGTGTTATACTAGAATAAGTTGTCCTACCCCCTAGGACAAAATAATCCCAATATGCATAATAAGTTATCTTAATCAATCCCTCCCCCCCCTATCGGTGAATCAAAACGTGGCTTTTATGTGAAGAAATGAATAGAACTCACAACTGGGCAATTTTCACCACGTGGGCAATTTTCACCTAGTGGTCGACTAGTAAAAATGAATATTTTTCAAGATTAAATTTTAGAATAGAGAGCCTAAAGAAGTATGTACATAAAAAAAATGCTAGTTAGAATACAAAAGTAGATTTTTGGTTATAATTTGACTCAAATTTGCTGAGTCTGATGTGGATGCTCTTAGTTTTTTGTTTCCAAACATTTTTGTACATTTCCAAAATCTTTTATCGTTTCTCTTATGTCTCTGAAATGCTCCCAAAGTGTTTCCATATCCAAACTAAATAAAATAACAGAGTGAAATGAAAATTTTGATCCTTGCTAGGAACGACTAATACACACGACACAACACATAGCCACTTAACTATAAACGACACAAACACACGCATAGCCTCTTAACTATAAATGCTTGTACATATGTGCTTCTGTACTACAGACAACTATAACTCCTTTATAGAGAAATCACATGGAAATCCATGAAACCAATATGTTATTGATCAAATCCACATGTATAAACAGTTCATGATAGATTTTATTTGTTTTTTGATTTGTTTTTTAAGTGATTTTTTGGTTTGCTTTCTAAGTGATGAACATGACATGGGACCAAGGTTCTGAAAAGCGGTTGCGGTCGCCGTGGCGCGGTTGCGGTTGAGGGGTGTAAAGGCCGTAGCGTAACGGTTGCGGTAACCAGAACCGTGATTTTTTTTATTTTTCGCACAATTTGAAAAAAACTTACCGATACGCATATGTTTTTTTCTATGATCATATTTATTGGGTTTAAAATAAATATTTATCAATTTTTGTAAATTTTTAAGTATGATCCAATATATTTCATATTTTTAAATTACTATAAATTGAGTTTTTTACATTTTATTTTAATAATTAATGACTTTATATTATACAAAAAATCAATCACTGACTATTATATATAAGATAAACAATGACAAAAGTAAGAAAATAAATAAGAGCCTAAATATATATATATATACACATTTTAACCAAGCCAAATAGATAATGACCACACCTATTATTATTATTATTATTTTCAAATAATATATAAATAGACACACAAATAAAATGGTTGAGTGATAACAGCTGAATAGAATAATATAGGTCTTACAGCTTCAACAAATCAATAACATGTTCATCTTCCCTCTTCTCTCTCTCTATCTCTTGCTCCTCCATTTTCTCTCTTTATCTTCCCTCTTCTCTCATTTTTAACTTTTTTTTGTCTGTTTTTTCGAAAGAAACAATTTGGAACCATTACGTAATAGTGCGTAACAGGCCGTTACGACTGTTACGGCACCACTACGACCGACACACCTGTGAATCTCAATCACACTGCAAAAGCGGCCGTAAGGGGTGGCGGTAACCACTAAAACTGTTACGTAATGGCGTTACGTAATGGTTGCGGCCGCTTTTTAAAACCTTGCATGGGACTCACTTGAGCCCCTGTCAGGGGTCCGAGACCCACCAGGTACCAATTCGATAAACAAGGCTGGTACACATTGATCAATAGATACAGATCACGTTTATATTTGAATTAACCAAAGTAAACATAAGAAAGGCCACCAAAGGAATTAAATCAGATCCAACAGCATAAATCACGCATACCATACTAAATCCAAAAAGTTCTATAAGCAAAGCATGAAATAACGAAACCATGAGTGCACAACAAAAAGTACAAAATCTAGCCTGCAACAAAGTTTTAAAAACACAAATGGAACAAGACTAATAGGAAGTATCAAAAGAAGATGTATCAATTGGATATTCACATAAAGTAGCCATAAAATTACCTTCTGACTAGCAAACTCGCTGGCAAACCCAATCAACTACGATTTCATTATAACAACTCAAAGACTAGAGGCCATGAGCAGATTGGGTTACAAATCCATACGGCAAAGAGTTCAGTATAGGGGGTAAGGTATTGTAATAAAGATTCACATAGTTGCGATGAGAAGCATAGTTCTTGAAAGTTTGATGCATTCTTGAGAAGTGCCACCATCTTCCATAAGGAATCTCTTATCCTGGACATTTCACTTCAGCACCAAAGTGAAAAAGGAAAATATATGGTGGCTCATTTGACTTTATTAAGTGCCTTTCTCAACAATGCAAGTTTGAAGTTCTTCACCAGGTGCTATCATGCCATCAAGAATGTATCCGTTCAATAAGATCAGATGACAAACAACCAAAAAATTTCAAATTAATTTATAATTAACAAATTACCCTCCACTAAACGACCGATTCCATGAAAGACTTAATGTTCTCAAGATCTACTTTGGACTCCGGATACTTTTTTGGTTTGAAAAGTTTCCACATTCCAACAGGATGTCGGTTTTTAACTTCAGCATCTCCTGCAAACTCCCAAAGTGATTTTTCACACTCCGGATATGGCTTCACATAGAGATTGTAAAATCTCAGCCTACTGAGTTTGATCAAACCCTTCAATCCCACTTCATTTCCAAGCCCACCTTTTGATCTCAAGTACTCAATCACATTATATCGAGGAAAAATCTGCTTCTCAAAATTCACCCCCAAGTACTCGGGAACATCAACCAGCCAAAGAACATCAAATTTCATCCTATGAACTAAAAACTCAATTTTCTTCTCAATGTCCTCTATCTCATATAATATTGCCCTTGGCTCTTTCCACAACACCTTAAAAGCATCCCTTCGTATCAACCCATATCTGCATAAGCAATCAACCCTCCGTTTCACCTCAAGCCCGGCCCTAAAAGTTCCCTCACTGTAAATTCTCTCTTTGATAGGTATCCGACACTTCAAAGTCCTCAGCAGTTCCAAACATCGAGAAAGCTCCCCTAATTCCAACCCAAGAAGAGTTGGGTCCCTAAGAATTTCTCTCCTAACCACATCCAGGCTAAAACCCAAATCCTCAAATTCATCAAACAAGGGCTTCAGCTTATTTTGCACCCCACAAGTCAGTATACCAGGAAACAAGCTGAAAATCGAATCAATTCGATTCCTATCAATTCCAATTCCCATCAAGAATTCAATTCTCTCATGAATTCTATTCTCATTCATCACAATTACCAATGGAAACTCCTCTAAAACCCTAGTTACAGTACCATCACAAAACCCTAAACCCTTGAAACGCTGTATACACCTAGAAAGATCTTCAGGGCCTAAACTGAACTTCCTTGAAACCTCAAGAACATTCTGAATCATCAACGAACTAACATTTGAAATCCCTATTTCCGTGGTACCCATTTCCCAATTCTTGAGAAATTCAAAATCCAAAACCAAAGGACAATCGTACACCATCGAAACGAGAAATTCCTGAGATTTCTTCAACGACAACAGAATTTTCAGGGATTTTTCGATTTCGGAGGCATTGGAGTTGAGTAAAAAACGATTCTTTGCAAGGAAGTCGTGCAGTTGAGATGGAGGGAAACCGTACCTTTGAAAGACATCTGCGAGGGAAATTAGTTTCCTGTATTGGGATTTTTGTGACAATTCTGAGGAAATTGGCCGGCTTGTAGAGAAAGATTGGAGTTTTGGGGTTGGGAATGGAGAGATTGGTTTGCAATTTGATGTGATAACGAGATGAAAGGTTCGTCTGGTTAGAACCCTAATCGCCATTGCTAGTCCCTCCGCACCGGGATTTTTTATTTTTGACTAAATTATAAATACTCCTAAGTTTTGAAAAATTATAAATTTTTTCTGAGTATTATATTTACAAAACAAATTAGTTTGTTATGAAATATAAATTTCAAAAGATAAATTATTATAAAAATACAGACTTCAAAGAACGTGATATAATTTTTAAAATCTCAAAAAAAATATTTATAATTTAACTAAATTTCGAGAGAGATATTTGTAATTTATGCTTTTTTATTTATTTTTTCCTTCCCCAATGATGCTACAACGACCAAGAAATTCGAAAATAAATAAATAATAATAAATGAAAATCAAGAAAATTAAGGACACACATTAAAAAAAGGGAGATTTACCAATAAATCCCAAAATGTAAACTTATGAACCAATTAGTCCCATTTTTATTCTAGTAAACCGTTTAGTCCCATTTAATTGTGAGGGACGTAATTACCCTCATCTCTAACCGTTGCTCACAGATACACAGACACACACACACACAGAGATACACACACAGATACATACACACACACACACAGAGATACACACACACAGATACACACACAGATACATACATACACACACAGATACACACACACACAAATACACACACAGATACACACACACACAGATACACACACAGATACACACACAAATACACACAAATACACACACACAGATACACACACAAATACACACACAAATACACACACAGATACACACACACACACACAGATACACACACAGACACACACAGATACATACATACACACACAGATACACACACACACACAAATACACACATACATTAACACACACAAATACACACACAGATACACACACACACAAATACACACACAGATACACACACACACAAATACACACACAGATACACACACACACAAATACACACACAGATACACACACACACAAATACACACACAGATACACACACACACAACAGAAGAGGGGAAGAGTTATAATGTGGGAAATGGTGAAGTGATGGTGAAGCCCCACCAGTACATGGAAACAAAATAATAATGGGTAAAATCGTCCATACAGTTACACTAAATATGAAAAATAGGATCAATAAGAAATAAACTTCCCCACTGATAGGACTTATTCGAACAAAAGAATAAAGTTGGGACTAATTGGTTTAATAGTTTGTGAAATGGGATTTATTGGTAAATTTTCCTTAAAAAAAAAATTTCATGCCGGAGAAAGTCCTCGAAATTTTTTTCTATAAAAATTGTCCGCGGGGTGATAAGTAGTGGCAGTAAATTAAATAAATAGATAATATTTAATAGATACCTAAATAAATAGGTACATATATTAAATAGATAGGTGCCATGTGTATATATTTAAACGTGTATAGATATATGATATTTGATTTAATAGATAAATAATTAAACTTTTGAAAAAATAACAGCATTTAAGACAAATAATATTCTTTTGAAAAAAAAAATGATTTAAACTTGAGTTTATTGGCTCAACAGTTTCAAAAATTGGCTGTTAACCTAAGGGTTAAAAAAAAAAAAAAAAAAAAAACTTAGAAGTTTTACTTGGGAAAAAAAATTAAACACTAAAGTTGTTAAACAAATCAAACTCATGTTTTAAAATTTGTTAAATTATCAAATCAAACCTGAACAACTCACCACTCAAATTGGTAATGTGCTGTAACAATCAATTTACTCATGTTCAACTTATTAAAAACTCATTTGAGAATAACCTGTTATATAAACAAGTCAAATTTGCACACATTTTGAAAATCGTTAAATTTTCCAGTTAAGCTTTAGCAAATTAATATTCAATTCAACTTGACTTATTTATAAGCCTATTAAACACTGAATTTTTATTTTTTTTCAATTTAAATTCTAATCTCGTCATTTGATCACAATCTCAATCAACAATCTATTTCCATTAATCGAACTATCAAAAGGATATTTTTGTCAATTTGTTACTTTTCTTCTACAGAATGAACATACATACTTATAATTGCTATCTCATTCGCTATGAGAGGAAGAAAAAAAGAGAGAGAGCACCGTATAAGACCATCTCCAACTCAACACCTTTTTTTCATCAAATTTCAATTTGATTAAAAAAGTAACTTTTTGTTGCTCTAATGGTTTCATCAAACCAATATCAAATTCAAAATAAGTTACAGTTTTCATTAAATTGAGGATGACTGTGGTTTTCACCAATTTATTGTTCAGAGCCATTGGAGTTGCAAGTAGTACAACACCATCGGACTGTTAGGGAAAATATATGATTTCTCACAAGTAAATCAATCAATGGAAATAAAAACTAATGTGGAAAAATTAAATCAACAGTGACACAAGAATTTTTATGTGGTTCCCTCAATGCGAGGTACGTCCACGGGATCGAAATTCGATTCAACTATCAATAAAAAAAGTTTCCAAACAATTACAAACGAGACACGAATGGTCTCACAAACCACTCTTCGGTGAATTCCAAATAATCATAAATAATCAAGAGGAGAGATCTCACCAAATAAACGAATAAAAAATATTCGTAACAAAGTTGTAGAAGACCCAAAATAATGAACCAAATTCAGACGAATATCTACCCAACCAATGCTTCAAAGTAGCCAATAAACTAAGCAAACCAGTAGCAAAAAAATAGCACTCTTTGACCCAAAAGAGTGATATTTTTTACTAGCACTATTTCAACGAATTGAACTTGAAGCAGCTGTCGCTGTCCCTTTGATTTTTTTTTTTTTTTGTGGGAAAAACAAAACAATACCAATATTTTTATTGTGAACTCTTAGGCTTTTTATCAAAACCCTAGTTGTATCAAATTGATTACAAAAAACCATTGGGCCTCCTAAAGTTAGATATAATATATTAAAATATATTATAACTAACGCCAAACCAAACTAAATATTTTAATAAACTAATTGGGTCTCATACTCCAATAAGGAGGTATACCCAACAATTCTCCATCTACCGACTTAGGTGGAGACATCAACCATACTTGCCAAAGTTCAATACTTCAAATATTTGTCCTTCGACAAAGTCTTTGTCAATATATCCGAAATATTATCATCTGTGTGAACATTTTCGAGTTGTAACAATTTTGAATCTAACACATCACGAATCCAATGGTACCTTACATCAATGTGCTTCGATATCGAATGAAAAGTAGAATTTTTACTCAAGTGAATAGCACTTTGACTATCACAATAAAGCACATACCTTTCTTGCTTCAAATCCAACTCTTACAAAATTTTTTTCAACTGTAACTCTTCCTTGCAAGCTTCCGTAATGGCAATAAATTCAGCTTCGGTAGTTGAGAGAGCAACACATTTTTTTTTTAATTTATATTACCATGCCATAGCTCTCCCTGCAAATGTCATCAAATACCCCGAAGTAGATTTCCTAGAATCAACATCACCGGCCATGTCAGAATTTATAAACCCATCAAGCATCGGCTTACCATCCCCAAAACACAAACACACCTTCAAAGTCCATTGAAGATATCTTAGAATCCATTTTACCGCTGCCCAATGTTCTTTACCCACATTACAGAGAAACCGACTCACCACACCAATGGCGTAAGCAATATCCGACCTTGTACAAACCATGACATACATCAAAGAACCAACCGCTGAAGCATAAGGAATTTTCTGCATCTCTTCCTTGTCTTTCTCACTTGTAGAACATTGATTCGAACTAAGCTTGAAGTGACCCGCAAGTGGACAACCGATCGACTTTGCTTTATCCATGTTGAACCTCTCAAGAACTTTTTCAATGTAGCTTTCTTGAGACAACCAAATCAGTCCCTTTTTGCAATCACAAACAATTTTCATACCAAGTATTTGCTTTGCTGGCTCCAAATCTTTCATAGCAAAAGACTTGCTCAACTCCAATTTCAACCTGTTAATCATAGTGTAATATTGACCCACAATTAACATGTCATCAACATAAAGCAAAAGAATAATAAATTTACCATCCGGAAATTTTTTCACAAACACACAATGGTCCGAAGTGGTTTTAGAAAAACCATTATTCATCATGAAAAAGTCAAATTTTTTGTACCATTGCCGCAGGGCTTGCTTGAGGCCATAAAAACTTTTCTTTAGTTTGCAAACTAATTTATCTTTCCCTTTCTCCACAAAACCCTTTGGTTGCTCCATATAAATTTCTTCTTCAAGATCACCATGAAGAAATGCGGTTTTCATATCAAGTTGCTCAACTTCAAGGTTCATACTTGCAGCCATGCCAAGTATAACCCGAATAGAAAATATCTTCACAACCGACGAGAAAATCTCATCAAAGTCAATACCTTTCTTTTGCCCAAAGCCTTTCACAACAAGACGTGCTTTGTACCTCAGATTCTTGCTATCATTCTTCAATTTGAAGACCCACTTATTTTTCAGAATTTTCCTCCCCTTAGGCAACTTCACTAAATCATAAGTGTGATTTTTAAGCAAGGAATTCATCTCCTCTTCCATGGCCTTTTTCCAATCATCTTTATTTGTATGCTCAATTGCTTCTTGGTAGTTCTCAAGCTCTCCTTGATCGAAAATCAACACAAATTCATTGGGAGGACACTTTCTTGAAGGTTGCCGGTCCCTTGTAGATTTCTCAACTCAAGTTGTGGTGGCGGTTCTTAAGTTGGACGCTGTAGACATCCCATTTTTGACCGCTCGCAAGACTTAGGCGCTTGGTTTGATACACTCGATGATGAAAGTTGAATTGTGTGCTTTGAATTTACAGCGATTCAAATTCAGCCAGGTTCTCGAAATAACCTCAAGTTTTCAACATTTGCCTTGTTTAAACCTTTGAGTCTTATTTTTGGATAGTTACCACCCTTAGTTGAGTTTGAACCAAAAAAATAGGGGAGTGTATCAAAGCCTGGCCGTGCATCAGTGATGGCCGGCTGTGGCTATGAATGGTCGGCAGGCCTTTGGTGACGAAAAACACTGTTCTGGGCGAGAGGCCGCTAGCTGTCCATTTTTGAAGATATTTATCACATTTTGAGCTCAAATTCTATAAAATCGAAGCTGTGTTA